TCCAGGCAGGTAGTTACCTTCAGTAAGAGGATGTCATTTCCCTCCTTAGCACTTCTGAAGTCTGGGTGGCAGTGATACTCTTGGACTTCGAATGTCTGCCAGCTTTCCTCTCTCCTCTGGATTGTGTGGGCTCCAAGGATGACAGTCAGGGGTTTGTGTCTGGTAAAATCAAGCACAGTGTATGTCATTAGCTTTCTCCTGTCTTCCCTGGTAACACTGAGGCACATCTCCCAGGGGCACGGCCAGGAAAGACTGGCTGGGCTTTAAAGAAGAATGGTGGGAGCAAGGAGCTCTGCCTGTGAATCTACCCAGGCAAGAGGCAAAGTAAGTTCCCATCTGACAGAGTGGAGCTCTGCAAGGATTACTTCACCCCTGGATCTCAAGCTGAGTGAATTTGGTCCAATGCTGCTGCTGTGTACCTGCCAATATACCTTTACTGGCCTGTACATCATCTGCAGAAGGGGCTGCCTTAGGAAAATCAGGAGGGACCCTGGCTACGGGTAGGAGTCCCTCTCAATCTAGCAGGTGGGACTTGGGTATCTGGGCTCCTGGGTTCTGCTGGTCCTCCTTTCTGCTGCTGAGGTGTGGGGACTGGCCTTGAGCCTGGGTTACTGGCACCGGGGCAGAACTGTCAGCCGTGGGGAGTGTAGTAGCTACACCAAGAGCCATGAGCATCTAGAAAAGCCCTCTTGCCTGTCCATGCCTGTTTCTCCAGCTGGAGGGATGGAAGAGAGGTGGTCAAGCAGCTTGCTCATAAGAGATTATTAATTCTGGTAAGTCTTGGAGGTCTTTGGTGGCAGACGGGGCAAAGCCTGACACCAGCAATCCCTGCTATGCCTGCAGGACAGTGACAGCAGGGGAGGAAGCTGATCTGACTTCTCATTGTTGACATCTGGGAAGAATAAAATGAGTCATGGAGGGGGAATAAAAAAAATAAAGGTAAGTATCTGAACAAGGGCTGGGGAGGACATGGGGAAGGATAGCTCAAGGCAGAGTGACAGACACACCTCTGCTGTTTCAGTGCTAGCCCCCACAGCCTAGCCCTGTCGCAGCAATACAGCCCGCACTCCTGCTGGAGAAGGAGTTTGGCCACAGCCCTGAAGGAAGTGGCTCAAGCTGTTAGACCTCCATCGAGGAGATGTTACCCAGATCACGGCAGTGCGACAATCTTGTGGCACCAGGAGCTGTATGAACATAGCAAAAACTTACACGAAGCACTGAGCCGCTGTCATCACCCAATTTGGCGCCACTAGGAAGCCTCCGCAGAAATGGTTGTTCTTTCCTTGCAGATAGGCCACATAGGGTGTGGACCGGGTCTTAGCTTCACCTCGTCCCTCCATCTGATTCCAGGAACAATCTGTAATGGACAGGACTGAGGATGAGGGGATCACAGGATGTGCTGCCTGGGACTCTTCCTTCCCCAGCCCTCTCCTCACCTCCAGGCCACTCTACTTACTGGCTTTAGCTGAGGGGCATGTCACCAGCAGGACGGAGAGCAGCAGTTTCTGCAGGCGCTTCATCATAGCGCTCTCGGCTTCAGTGGATCCCTCAGAGGTGAGGCTGCAGCTGGGGTCTCTTCCTGCTCCCAGCAAGGTTTTATAGCCTGAGACTAGACTCCAGGAAACCACAGAAGTCAGACTCATCTGATTAATCTATCTGCAAATTGCATGCCTCAGCGATCTGAGAGGGGAATTCAGCCAGCCTTAGCCTTGGGCATCAACCCACCTTCACCTAGGGCCTGATCTGGGGTATCTGATGTCCTTCTAAACCCAGAGCCAATTTTAATGCATTGCCTTTGAGCTGGAAGCTGTAGGGAGCATACCCACCCTTATCGCTTTGCCTGCCAGTGTGCTCTTCCCTTGCACCTTGTATTTGTTGTTGTGCACTTGAAACTCTCTTGATTTTTATCATAAGCCCTGCAAGAACAAGATTTTTTTCACTCGATGTACCAGTTCCAAAAACTGCGCAGTAGCAGTCGAGGACCTCCTTCTCTTTCTCAGCAGGTGTGGCCCTGGCTAATAGAGCAAAATTGGTGTGAGTGCATTTATAACACCACACTGGTCATGGCTATGTGAGGGCAAGAAGTTGTTATGGCAGCTTCATGACCGTGGCCCACAGCAGCGTGACTGCTGCTGCTGCCACGAAGCCTCTGTTCTGCACCAGCTGCTGACTTAGGGCTCTGCTTTGTACAGCAAAAGACACCATTTTAAGTGTTTCTTTCCAGGTGTAATTGTTCCCCATTTAACTGGGGAGTTCAGTGTCTCTTACCAGCCAGCGTGAGAGAAGACAGGGGGACGCTTCCTTGACCGTGGGTCAGGGGCTCACTTTCCCTCTAATGTGTTGAGGGTGGATGGAGACAGGGATGCAGGTTTGGGTTTCTGCCCGTTCGCTGACTAGAGATAACCTGATGACACCTGAGGACCCTGAAGCTGGTCTTGTTCCTCTGGGAAGGGTCATGTCCGAGCGCATCACAGCCAGCGTTGCCCCCACCCTGGCAGGCAGTGATTTTTGCGTGCCAAACAAGTGCCAGGTGCCTTTCTGCAGTGCGTGGCAGGGATCTGTCTTCCCTGGACCAGGCCCCATGGCAGGTGCACCTCCTCCTCCAGCCCATGGTGAGAGGGACTGTGCTGGAGGACGGGCTGGTGGCAAATCCCTGAACGGTCTCCCCCGCCCCGGCCCCCAGGGTGTCCCCTTGCCTCCTCACGGGCACCAGCACACGGGCCCGGCCAAAGGTGGAAGGTGAGCGTGGCTGTGCGCTCGCCCCAGCAGCGGTTCCTTCCTTCGCCTGTGACGAAACGGGGCCGATGTGTCCTTGCTGCCCTCGCTGGCTGCTGGTAAATTTGCTTTCCTATCTGCCCCCAGTGCCACAGGGCAAAACCCATTTTTAAAGCTAAAAGCAGCCATTCTCATGCAAAGACTGCAGCAGCTGGAGCTTCAAGGAAAACCCTTACGTGACAAAGATTTGTACTACACAGATAAGCAGCTGCAGCCTTTTCACTTGCAGATTTCCTAACTGATAGCAGCTGTTAGCAGAAGCCCAAACCATGGACCCTTCTCAGTTTCCCCAGGGTGGCATGTGTGCTGAAGGCAAAGGTGACTTAGTTTCCCTTTGTCCCAGGCAAGAACAAGGAGAACATAAAAGCAGTTATCCAGGGCTGGACTGCAGGCCATCTCCTCCCTCTGATAGAGGTGGCTAGTGGGAGCCTTGGAAAAACTATGAGAACAAGGCAAGCATCCTGTTCCCTTGAATTGCATGCAGTTTCTGTATGTTTAAAACTCCCCGCTGGGTTTTCCCCACTGCAAACCAGTCTGGTCTCCTCTCGAACTTGCGCAAACATCTGTCATCGTGTACCAGGGAGTTCCGAAGCTCGGTTACTTACCAATGCACTGTCTCTGCCCCTTGTCGCCTCCTCCAGGAAAGTGTCCAGCATTCTCCTATCTGTGTATGAGAGATGCCCTCAAAAACTAGCTGGAACAAAGGAGACTAGGGCTCAGAGTTTAGACAGGTTGCCTTACACCCAGTGCAGACCAAGGCAGGAGGGGCTGGTGCAAGTTATTCAGACTCGAGTGCAGGGGCTGTCTGAAAACAGTGTTAGAGCATCCTTTGTGTGGAGGGGAAGCTTGCCTCTGAGCATCACCCAGCTGAGGGGAGAGTCGTAAGCCCTTTTGGTTTTGTGCAAGAAAACTGCTAGAACAGCCTCTGCTCGTGCTGTACTGCTGGGGCTGGACTTGCCTTCCCGAGAGGGACAGAACATGCCAACAGGCTCCAAGGCAGACAGCTCCCAGCTAGGACTCACCCTTGCGCTTTAAGAGTTGGGCTCTCCTGCTATAGTTGGCACGGGAGGAAAGGACGAAGTGGCATGGGGTCAGGCAGTTTTGTGAACCCAGGTCCTTTATCAACCCTTTCAGTACAATCCTTTCAGAGACTGTTTCAATGTCTCTACACAGGTCATCATGTTGCTGTTCAGGAGATGGAGGACTGTGGCTCCTGGAGGATGGCAGAGGCAAAGACTGAAAGCACTGGTGTGCAACCGCTGGGACTTTGAGTATGTCTCCTCTCTGGGATCCTAAAGCCCTGTCCGTGGGATCTCAGCCACTACCTGCCCTACAGCCAACGGGGTCAGAAACAGCACAGTCTGCAAAAAGTCCGGCTCACTTCACCTGATGGAGCCTCTTACAGGTAGGACAGCTGAAAAGATTAGCCTGGTTTTCCCTGTGACCCAGCCTGCTGTCTTGGCTGCCCCACGTCCTAGAGTGCAACATCACCCAGGCACGACTGCAGAAGGGACAGTCAAGTCATTACATTGCAGGGAATGGCAGCTTTTGACCCCTGGTACTTGCTGACACACCACATCCTGGCTGTCAGCTGCTCCCAGGCAGGTGGTGATGTTGCTGAAGTTGGTGAATGGAGTGCATGCACATCGCTTTTCCCAGCCCATTTCTACCTGGGCAGTTGCTCTTCCACTCATCCCCCATGACCCCAGTAAGAGCAACTGTAGATCTTGTCCTCCAAGTCTGCCAGCAATTCAGTGGATGCAGAGCTATGACTGCCTCTGTGCCAAGAGGCTGACTTCTCACTTTCACCAGCTAGACCCTCCCTCCCTTCTCCCTGAGGCAAGGTACAAGAAAGAAGACATATGCTGGGAAATGCAGCTCTGAGTTTACTGTGAGTGTTTTAAATGCAGCAAGGTTCAAGCAGGGACAGGGTTGTCTCTGAAGGAAACAGGGTCCATTGTAGCACAGCCTCTGTCTGATGCCATCTGGGATGATCCCTGCTTGTGCCAGGGTGATTTAATGTGGCCCTGAACTGAGTGCCTGAGATGGGCAGGGAATGGGACAGCCAGCAGCCACAGAACAGAAAGAAGGGGACCCTTGTGTGCAGCGATCAGGTCGCTCAGGTTCCCAAGGAGAGAGGAGGGAGTCAAGCCTTCCGCAGTGGCAGGAGGGAAAGCAGTGCAGTCTCCAGGGCCACACCAATGCTGGAGTGAGTGTCGCTGCTGCTACTTCTCCATAGTTTTTTTGATCCAGGGCAGGTAGTTGGAGATGCGGGCGTAGACCCCCGGCGGGGCGTGGTGCCCAAAGGAAACGATGCCTTGTGCCACCTTATTGCATACCAGGGGCCCACCAGAATCTCCCTGAGGACAGATGAGAGACTGGTTTTAGAGGCCTTTTCTGTGTAGGAACAGGTTTCACCTTGGTCCCTCCCTGCCCAGGCACTGCCAGAAGGGCTGTGTCTCTGCCCTGGACCTGCGGCTCTGCTCCTGCCCCACACCCACCAAGCTGGAGGAGCTGCCCGGAGCTGGCGAGTTGGGGCTCTACCCCTGCGACTGCACGTGGACTGTGGTCTCAGGGCATCCAGAGAGTTGGTCCACATGGGAGCTACAAATCAAATGCTTGTCGCCACTCCTGGGAACCGGCTAAGTCTGTGCCAGCAGCAGTCCCTGCTACCAGAGAGCCCACCTGACTCGCAGCCAAGCCCCCAGCCTGTGGGCAGCCCATACCTGGCTGGAGTCCCTGAGCTCATGGAAGCTGCCGGCACAGACCATGCCGGTGTCGAGATGTGGATAGAAGCGGATGCATTTCCTGCGGCTGTAGATGGAGACTTTGGTTTCAAAGAGCTTGTTGGTCTCCTGGTCATCATCGATCAGGCCCCAGCCGGCTATGCTGCACTTGGTGCCCGTGGGGAGGTCACTGCCGGTCTTGGGCAGTGGAATGGTCTTGACATAGTCATTGAGTGTGGCCTTTGCCGTCAGCTGGGAGAAAGCAAAGTTTTTGGAGAAGGCTATGAGCAGAACAGCTGAAGGACACTTTGTGCGCAGAGGTAGGGGAGGTCCAGCAGGACACACAGCACTGCAAGCTCTGGTGAGCTGCTGTGAATAGGGCATGCAGCTCCAAGCCTTGCCCACAGTTCCCTCCCAGGTCCCTCCCAGTCCTGCGTGCCTCCAGCACTCATGGGAAGAAGCAGCTGATGGTTTGCAGAAGGAGCTAACAGCAAGAATGTGCTCTGCCCAGACCTGGCGAGACCCGTAAGCCCCACTCTACTCTCTGACCCACTGCCTGCTGTGGGACTGCCTTGCCTTGAGCAACATGATGTCGTTAGAGACGGTCTTGGGGTTGTATCCAGGGTGCTGGTGGTATCTGAGAACTCCCCGGATCTGCTGGGTCGTTTCTGGTTCGTGGATGTTGTGAGCCCCCAGGATGATTGTGGCATGCCTGGCCATGGCAGCAGAGGGGAGAAGGGGGAAAACAGATTGTGTCTCACCCACATCCCTCCCCTTTCGCAGGCAGGTGGACAGAGCTGCTCAGCACAGGAGGAAGAGGAGCCTACTCCAAAATTACTCCAGTGATGGACCTCACAGGTTAAGGGAGGAAGCCCCATTATGAAGTACTTACCCCATGCAGTGTGCAGCTGTCATCACCCAGTCAGGGGCCACCAGGAAGCCTCCGCAGGCAAACTTCCCTGCCTTCAGGTATGCCATGTAAGGGTGGGAGTGGGGCTGAGCCTCGTGGCCCCCCACAATCTGACCCTCTAGAGCACCTGCAAGACACCCCACCGCAGGATTAGCCAGTGGCTGCTGAGGTCAGAGCCCAGACCAGCAGCCTCACTTGCAGCGGCTTGTGGCACCCCAGCTTACTGGCACTGGCCCACAGGCAGGGAAGCAGGAGCAGCAGGGCCAGCAGCAGCTGGGGCTGACACATCTCTTCCCACAGCCGGACACTCCTTCCAAGATGTGTGGAAGTCTGAGTCTCTACTGCCCAAGGGCTGGTTTTATACCCTGGGACCAGCTATACTCAGCAGCCAGGAAACCATGTGTGATGGCCTGATTGTGCTAATCAGAGCAGTGCAGCACCCCTGCAGATCCATCTGCATCTTTGCTGCCCCAGCCTGCTCACATGCCCCATGTGCTCTGAGGCTGTGATTGATGAGTGATAGAGCAGGACAGAAAGGCCAGGGCAGAGAGAGCATGGTATGCCACAGTCCCAAAGCCTGAGGGATGCTGACAGGGAGAGGTGTCCTAGGGTATTTTTGAGGTGTGATTTAGCATTTCTCCCGCAGTTTGGCTGCAGGACAAATCACGTCTGCCCGCTTCAAAGCATGGTGTCTTCAAGCTCTGGCAATGAGGCTATCTCGTACTGTACCTTCAGTAGCTCATGCCACTTGCTCCTGGGGGTGGTCAGCTTTGTTGGCAAGAGCAATGACTGCAGATGCTCTTTCCGCTCTGTGGTTTCCCCTCTGCAGCTGGTCTGGCCACTGGCACATCTGTTCAAATGGGACCAGAGGAAGCCTTCATCTACCCTGCTCTCTCCCTTCCTTGACCTGAAATTGCCTGCGGATCAGGCTGCAAATGCTGTCTTTGCCTTGCCCCTAGCAAAGTGTGACTTGGTTAAATGCTGAACTGAGCACCAATCCTGCTGCACTTGTCCCTTCCTGGCTTTGTGGTCCTGAACAGAAACCACCATGGGGCTGTCCCAGGTGACCCTGTTTCAAAGAGGTGACCAAATCTTTGTGTCAAGGACACGGACCTGGGGCTCAGGACACCTGCGTCCTTCCTGTTCCTGGCTCCCACGCTGCCTTAGCTGGTGGCTGTCCATGCTTTCCTTCTGATCTTTGGGCCTCCAGTTGCCGAAGCGTGTCCTGCAATGGCAGCTGAGACTGCCCTTTGTATGAAGAGCTGCCCGACACTCAGGCTGCAAGCTCCGAGGGAGTTGTGCCATACAGTCCTGTGTTGTTCAAAGCTGTCCTTCCTGTTTGCACTTCCGAGCCCTTAATTACCTTAATTTTCCCCACTGCCAGGTTATCCCAGTTTGCTGCACTGTTTCTTGCTCCCTGGGGCTTGTCTGGGCAGTTGCGTGCCCACAGCAAAGCACAAATCTCTTAGGGTTAATGCTGTGTGAAGTGTCTGCTCTGCTCAGGAGGGATTGCAGGTTGCATACTGGAAGGACGTCTTTTCCATGCTCACGGACTTTCAAGAACTCTGGACTCTGCTCCAGCACAAGAGCATCTGAGGAGGAGCTGGGGACAGCCACAACAGAGAGGGGCCACAGAGGAGGCGGCAGGGTGCTGTGCTTGAGCCGCGCGGACAAAAGCTGGCATGAGAGCACAGCCAGGTTCTGCACTCTTCCTGCACTCAGCCTCATCCCTCCTGTTTCGACTGTTGGCCAGGATTAAATCTTCCCTCAGATGCCCTCCAGAAATTTTCTCTGAGCCCTTAAGTCGATCCCTTTCCCTTGCTTTGCCCCATTGGCACAAAAGTCTGGCCTAGGGGCAAACCAGCAGGCAGATGCCTGGCCATGGCCACTGCTCATTCCCCAGCGGCTGTGCTTATGTACCAAGAGGGACAGAGCCCAAGAGCATGGAACTGCCACCGGTTTGTGTGAGCACTTGCCAGGTAGGGCAGCCAGGTCTCTGACCAGCTTGCCAGTTGCTAACATTCCAGCAGTGCTCTCCCCTCATGCCCAGTGAAGCTATGGGCAGATGCTAGCCATTCTTAAGCAAAGCAGCTACTCCAAAACACCTTCCTCTACTGTGCAACTGAACAATTTGCTATTGCAAGGATGGGGAGAGCTGAGGAGGTAGGAGGTGATGCCTCCTTTTAATCCCTGGAGTACTTTCAATTTGGTTCACCTAGGCAGGAATCCTCCCAGAAGCTCTGGCTGAGGTCACTGCAGGTTCTCTGCAGGCATCTGGTTTAAATAAGCTAATTTGGGCTTGTAACTGCAGCCAGGAACTGATGAAAAAACAACAGACAAAGGCAATAGAACAATTAGCACTCTGAGGCTTCAGTGCTGCCCCCTTCCCC